ATAGGACTTCCAGTACAATGTTGGAAAGGAGTGGTAAGAGGGGGCATTCTTGCCTTGTTCTGATCTTAGTGGGAAAGCTTCTAGCTTCTTACCATTAATGATGGTGAGATGTTAGCTATATGATGTTAGCTGTAGTTTTTTAAAAAAATATCTTTATTAAGTTGAGGAAATTTCCTTTTATTTTTGTTTATTTAGGAATAAACATTTATCATGAATGGGTGCTGGCTTTTGTCAAGTGCTTTTTCTGCATCTATTGATGTACCATCTGATTTTTCTTCATTAGCCTGCTGACCTGAGCCAATTTTTTTATGTTGGCCAAGTTGTTCATACCTAGGATAAATCCCACTTGGTTGTGATGTCTAATTCTTTTCATACATTGTTGAATTGAATTTGCTAATATTTTGTTGAGGATTTTTGCATCTATGTTCATGAGAGATATTGGTTTATAATTTTCTTTTAAAATCTTTGTCTGGTTTTGGTGTTAGGGTAATTATGTTTCATAGAATGATTTAGAAAGTATTCCTCTTCTTCTATCTTCTAAAAGAGATTTTAGAGAATTGGTATTATTCCTTCCTTAAATGTTTAGAAGAATCAGTGAACCCATGTGAGCCTGATGCTTTCAGTTTTGGAAGGTTATTAATTACTAATTAAATTTTTATAATAGATATAGGCCTATTTAGATGCTCTGTTTTTTAAAAATCTATTTTTATTGATTTTAGAGAAGAAGGGGTCGGGGAGAGATAGAAACATCAATGATGAGAGAGAATCATTGATTAGCTGCTTTCTGCATGCCCCTACTGGGGACCGAGCCCACAACCCAGTCATGTGCCCACGGAAATCAAACCGTGATCTCATGATTCATAGGTTGATGCTCAACCACTGAGACACACTGGCTGGGCAGTTTTTCCTTTCTTTATGTAGATCCAAGTTCTAATTTTTTTTTAAAGAACTGCCACTGGCTCATAGAGGGAAGCAGGGAGCAGGAGTTAGGTCACTCATGGAGGTAAGAGAAAATGTTCTGGAAAGATTCATTGCTTTCTTCTTCTTATGTAAGATGTGGTTTCCCCAAAGAAACAAGATGCTAAATAAAAGTTAGGGTCTCAAACCACAAGCCTACTTTAACCCACTTTGTTGCTGACTATATTCAATTTAATTTTGTTCACATCAACAAGGCAGCGTTTTCTTTTCATGCCAGAAGGAGGAAGTGGAAGCAAGTAGGCTTTGAGGATGACCCAAATGGTACAATTTAGAGTTTTCACTGAGCATGGAAGTGTGTGTGTGTGTGTGTGTGTGTGTGTGTGTGTGTGTAGGAGAGTGGGAAGGGTGGGAGGGAGGATGGGGTGGAAAGATGAATAAAATGTGGCCCCTGCCCTCAAAGAGCTGTAGTTGGAAAGGCAGATACGTACTCAACTAATATGTGCAATGATGGTGGAGGTGTCATCTAACCCCAGGGTGACATAAGTATTCAATCTGAGTGGGAAAAGCTAAAAAATTGTGGAAGATGTGGCAGCTTCCACTTGAAGGATGTTAGGGCATTAGTCAGCAGGGGGTGAAGACAGTATGCATTTGAGGCAGAGAACATGTTTGGGCAAAGGTTCAGGATGGTCAGCTGCAGGGCACAGTCATGGAAGAGCTGAGAAGCTGCTGTAGAGGGTGGGAGGGGCAGGTGGTCTTTTTTGAGTAGGTGCGATGATCTCATCACTTACATAGAAGGTAATTGTTCATATTTTCATGTTGAATTATAGGCAGGTGATTTTCAAAAGCCTAATTCTTCTAAACAAATGTGATCTTGCCTCAGACCAAAGAACTACCTGTCTCACATACAATGGTTCATTACCGTTAAGAATAAGAAAGTGATTAACTACAAAAATGTCGTTATATTTAACTAACTAGGGATGGATTTGTTAGAGAATAGCAAAAAGATGTTTAATAGCTTTATATCTATTTTGAAACCAGCCTATTTTGTAACTGTATTATTAGGAGGAAAGCATGCAAAGGCGTGTGCTGTCACTGGGGACACTGAGGTTGCAGGCTCTAATGTGGGGCCAGGAGGAGGAATAAAGGAAAAAGTAAAGAAAGAATCCCTAACAAGGGTCAGGTCCAGGAATAACTTGCTAGACTATGGAGATTCATGTCAGTCCCCTCCTATTTGTGTATCTGGACAGAACCATGTATAAACTACTTTCTTTTGGGTGTCCCTGGAGTGAGGACTCTGTGGTGGGCAGTGATAAATCAAGTAAGTGATCTCTGATTTAATTGTGTTTATGTGATTTTATATTATCTGGACAAGAGGCTGAGTGGAATTCAGTCCTTTATTGAGATATTTGGTTGAGGCAAGCATTTGTTCACATCTCCATCTTCAGTTTAGTTTTTCCAGTGAGGAACAGAAACATAGAAAACTCATGGGTAGAGTCTATTGAATTCCTGAAATTCTAGTTCATTTGTAAATCACTGATAGATAACAATTTACATACATATTAAGTATAAAATATATGGTGAGATACTTTAAGAAAATGCTTTTGAAATATTACAAAGTATTTATTATTATCTATTTTTATTTTCATTTTGTTTATTCAACCTTAAGCTCTTGAAGATGGACACCACTGTAATCTGATTTTGAGATACAAATTGGTGATATCTTGACTGGGGAAAGGTCTCATCTTATACTTACTCTTAAAAATACTGGCTCTGGTCCCAATGGGGGACTCTTTTGAAGAAGCATAATTTTGTTTCTTACCCTACATCTTGCATCTACACGAGTGAAGAGGAGACCAACAATATTGAGTGTTTTATCCATTTACACATTTCTGTCCCCTCATTCTCATCTATAAAGATACAGCTTTTTCAATTGTAAATTTTTACCTCTGTGGGCAAATAACAAATAATGTAGTTGTGTTACCAAACAACAGAAAAAAACCCCAATATGAAACCATCCATAAAACACGGTATCTGACTAACAATAAGGTATGGCATGATAAATCATGGTACATCGCTAAATAGCATATTACACAATTATTAAATGATAATTAGAGACACTGCATAAAAACATGAAAACATACTTAGAATATAATGAAAATATTAAAGAAAAACACATGATTATAATAAGTAAGGTGCATATGCATATGCATATGCATATGGAGGAGGCCTGGAAGATAATATGCTAAAATGGAAATACTATAGTTCTATTAGGATAGTGGGACTATGGATTTTCAAAAATATTTTCTTCAATGTTATAAAAGAATAGTAACAGTGAGTTCACCAAATGAATGATGCTGTAGGTGTAGAGGGGAGATATTATAAACAATTATAGGTTGGATATTATCAAAAGGGAAAACACATTTAAAAGAATAAATATTTCTTCCCATATTTGCCAGATCAATGGGTATTAAGAGCCATAGAATTGAAAATATTTTCAAAGGAACTGGCTAGTAAGGTTTGGAAGAGAGCCTGAACTGAACTCTATATGAATTTTGTTTACCATGGTAATTGCAATAAAGACTAAGTCTTGAAACAATTGTCTAAATATGCTCCAGCATGGGTATCTTGGCTGAATTTACACTTTGGAATCAAGACACAGTTTCACCTCCTTCAACATATCATTTCCCTCTTTCAAAATGCATCCGAATTATCAAGAGGTATTGTGATTTTAGGAAACTATTTTCCCTCCGTGCCAAATCCAAAGTAAATTATATTTAGTGTAAGGGTATGTGTTATATTACTTAGGGATCCAATATTTAAAAATTTCTCCTCAAAAATATTTTACTCTGAATATCTTCATTTTATTCCCAGAAATGTATTTTGCTGAATAAAAATATATTTGGTAATAAAACAAATCTGCTTTCACACATTTACAAAATTCTTTTTAGTAGTAGCAAGAATTCAATCCATGTCACATATTAGTAATCATGAATTGCATAACTTTGGCCTGCATTTTGCTGTAACTCATTTCATGGCAATATATAAAGTGCCTTTGCCACAACGCCATAGGATATTCAACCTGGGAATGAACTAAGAGGAAACCTAGCGTCAGTCAGTCCCACTCCTTCCTTCTCAGGGAACTGAGGTGTGAGGAGATAAAATTTGCCCAGGATCACTGACCACATTTGCTGACATTTAAACCCTACCCAAAAGCAATTACATATGTTTGATGTTGTATTTGACTAGAAAATTGTGATTTTTTAAGGGCATGATGTTTAAAAACAAGAATAATTGCCATACTTAGAGAATTACAGAGTTGGACCTGAAATACACAAAGAGATATACCCAAACTTTTTGTCCTCAATTCCCCTTTTGGCAAAAAGTGCCTGAAACTATCTGACATTAAAAAGAAATCATCATTCCTTAAAGGATGCAAAATTATTCTGATCTTCAAGATTAAATGTACCACCATTTCTATATATAACTCAATAATTCTCTTCAACTGGATCAGATACTATTCTGGCTGATGGACCTCTTGTCTATTACAGTTGATCAAATGAAAGAGGAAATACTTTTTAGGGCCCCATTGTGATTTTTTTCCCTCAGCAGCAAAAAATTAAACATGAAATAAAGCAGACCTTTGCCATGTAATGTTTACTGATCAGATGAACTTAATAAAAACAGGGCTTTGGTTAATCCTAGTAGATTAACTCTCATTTTCTTGGCACTTACTGTCTTTGGGAATGCTGAACAAAAGTACAAATAATGACATTTCTGACATTTCCAGAAGTTTAATCATTGCATGTCATATAAATTCTGCATAAAGTTCAAGACTAAGGTATTGACTTCACAGTCTTTAGATTTGAAAAGGCATATAAGAGTAGT